ATCTTCCATTCATGTACAGATGCAGCCTGGGAGGGGTGGGGAGGGTTGGCCAGGGAAAGATCCACAGAGACAATCACCTGTCTGGCACTTCAGGGCTCTGCAGCCTGTGGAGGGGGCTACAAGCTAGGTATCTCTCCTGAGGCACAGGGGCAGTGGCCTCATGGCCAGGAGGCATCAAGAAGCTGTAAGTAGAAGTAGAAGTAGAACTTGACAGGACTATTGTGAGCTCCTGTGAGATATGCCTGGGGATGCCCTGAAAAGACCAGGGAGGACCTGGGCAGAGGCCCCACAGAGTGGGCAGAAGGGGTCAGAGGCCACGAAAGCTGCAGTTACTGTCACTGGGCCCTCATGTGTGCCCACCTGTCTCACGTGGTCCCAGGAAACACAGGTAACAGGCAAGAAGGCCTGAAAGTGACAGCAAGATGTTGGTGTGTGTGTGAAACCCCTTTGCCGGCTCCCAGAATTAGGCAGGAGGAATCTGAGGAGGGCTGGTCTTCCCGCAACTCTGGGGAGAGAAGATTCCCAAAGAACTTCTTATTAATGTGATTTGGACTCTGTTTTGACCTCCACGGGCCATAGTCTTCTAAGGCTGGGGATTTGGCAAGGACATTAAATGGGTTTTGCTGAGATGCCCAGAGTCTACATTCTCCTGGCATAGGACCTAATTTTCTAGCTCCACCCAGGGACAAGTCTGCCTCTGAACCTGGATTCGAGGTCTAGGAAGGAGATGTTCTCTAGATCCAAGAGGCCTCCAGAGGCAAACAGGGATTTGGACCAACAGTGAGCCAGGGACTCAAAGGGGGCTGTTGAGCCTTCAGGGGGCAAGGAGAACCCCTGCTATGTGTGGGGAAAATGAGACTTTTGTTAGCTTCCAGGGCCCAGGGCCAGGATGGAGAGAGGAACCACTGCTACAGCCCACACAATTAGCAAAACGCTGCAAGATGTCAAGTCAGTTAAGGATCGAGATGCGGCTCAGGGCTCTGGGAAAGCATCTGCGACTGATTAGTGATGTCAACTAAAGGGCTGAGGACAATGGGAGCCTCGTGTCTGACTCTGTGACCTCAGCTGAGGGACTGTGTCTCATTCCCTCTCAGTTCTAAAGCAGAGTGTGGGAGAAAGCTAGCAGCCGAGCAGTCAGGAGCCCCTTATTCATGAAGCTAAAACCTTCATTTATCAGGAGGCGCTCTTAGCAAGTGTTTTTTCTGGCTCTCCATGTAAAAGCCTTTGAGAAGCTCAGCTGGGGAGCCTCTTCTCTGACCCCTAAGCTGGACCCAGTGAGTTCACAGGGGGCCTTTTTAGGATCCTTTTTAGGGGCTGCTCCAAAGCCCAGCCCTTCTGGGGCTCGTCCGCACCCTCCAACCATGACCTGCACCCTTCACGGCAGGCCCACCCCCACTTGCGCCCTGGTTCCAGCTTCATCTGCATTTAACATCCCTTGTTGGGCTGTGGCAGAGAATACTCAACAGACTCATATTAAAAATGCCCTTTAAAATTCAAAAGCTTTGAACTAAAGAAATATCTCGAGAAGTTTTCATGGAAAGTTCAGCTCCATGGGTTCAATTCACTACACTTAGATGCACCTTTTCAAATAATAGGGAAAAAATGTAACAGGGTCAGACCCGATCAATATGCTTGTTCAAACAGAATTGCAGGGACTGTGATGTGCACACATTTTGTACTCTGCCTTTGTACCCCGCCACTCGCTCTGAAGAAAGGTTTCTTTGCTCGGAGAGCAATAAAAGCGATAGCCTTTGGAGTGGAGGCGGCAAAGCAATGGTGTGTTTACTGGGCCGGGAAGGGCTGCCATTTTTTCCCAACCCCACAGCCTTGTCTCTTTGTTCTTTTCAAAACGGCACGAAACCCACATGGGTAAAGTCCCTCAAGCATCCCGGCGTCTGATGCTGAATCAGAAGCAGGGGGCTCCCAGAATTTGCCTACCATGTCTCAGAAATGTGATTTGTGGATTAGACAAATAATTTGCTGCTTCTTTCCTACCCTTGGTGCGAACACAAAAGGACTTGCCATGGAGTACTGTAACCACAGGTGGAGGAAAATTCCAAAGCCCAAAATGGGTTCTTGTCTAGCTGAGCCAGGGTCCACATCCACCCCCACCCCTGCCATCCCCAAACTGACTTTGGGTAGATAGAGGGTTCCCTGGCCTTGGGCTGTAATTTATAATAGCCAGGAAAATTCTAGAGAACTCAGTGTAATGGAAGACCACAGCCAAGGGGTTAGAGGGAGGCAAACAGGCTCAGGGAAGTTTCTACTCTCACAGCCAGCCATGACGGCAGGCAGAGAGTGAATGATGGGGAGCAAACAAAAGGTTTTCAGCATCTACACTAGTCTGGGGACCTCTATCTCACGTGCACTCAGAAATGCAGGTGCAACTCAGCTTTAATCACTGAAACAATGCCCTGGACATGTTGAGGACCTGGGCAGTTCAGGAAGCTAAAGTGGGAATTATCCCTAACCCTCACCGCATACTAGATCCTAAAGTGTTTCCATTGGTTCCTGCTAAAATTAGATAGACATCCTAAACTCAAAGTTACAACTCGGGAGGGGATGTTGCAAATGGATGCAGGAGCAGCATTTGTCAATCACGATCCCATTGTTTAAAACTCTGCTCAGAAAAAAAACAAAAATCAATCAATCAAACAATCAAACTCTGCTCAGGCCCTGTGCCCCTGTTAAGAAGCAAAGCTGGAATCGCTAGGCCACATGGGGTTTTCCGGACTGGTCCCCACCTGGAAGGTCCCCAGTTGGCACGTGCTTTCACAGGTGGCCCCATCTTACCTCAAGTAACGAATCCTCTTGAGAGGGTTGAGAATGGGCCCTGTTGCCTGCTTACACATCACGTGGCTGGAGCATGCCTCTTCCAAACCACACATGCTCTTCATGGAGTCTGAGTTGAGGGCCTGTCATGCTCTCTGTAGACTGAAGTTTGGGTCACAGTTCATAGAGAAGAGGCTACCCCTTCTCCTGGCTGGAGCTGGAGAGAACAGAGAGCTGCCTCGTTCCCTCCTACACAGGATTGTATGTGTGAAACAGAAACTGAGACCAACAAACAGAAGAAAAAAGCGGACATGTTTTCGCTGAAAAAAAAGGCTGTGTCTACCGATGGCCACTCTGTGTGTAGGGAGTATTGGTTCCTGTATCTTTTTTTTTTTAATTTTTTAACTTTTGCACTCAGTTATTGAGGACTCTGCTCTCCCATGCCTCCCTCCCCCGCCGAACCTCTTTCATCTGTTATGGAGAGATCTCCACATAATGCTTAAAACCAGGGAGTTATTTTATTTTAAAATTCAAAAAGAGATCAGTAGCTAAAAAACAGCAGCGTTCCTTGCTCAGAATGCCTTGGAATCTATTCTCCCCAGTTTAAATAGTTGGGAAGTCCCTCTAAACCTTGGGTATTCTTCTTGGCAATAGAGAAAAACTGCCGTAACAACAAACTTGGAAATACACACATCCCCAAGCTGAACTGGCCTCTTGGCTTCTGTTTTAAGCCTACATCACAAGTCAAAATGAATTAAATACAAATCCAGTTTGCAATGGTCCATCACTAACCCGCCTCACTGGAACAAGCCGGCGGCATGTGGACTGGAAAGGGTCCCCTGGCATCCCTCTTGCTATCTTGGATTGCAGTCTGCCTGCCAAACCAACCCCACGCGGGAGTCCACAGCCCAGAGGCCCCTCGACTGGGGTGGGGGTGGGCAGCCACTGTGAGCAAATGCTGAAGCCCCACCAAGGGCCCAAAAGCACAGGCCTTCTTCCCCCAGGGCCTCCGAAGTCAATCAAGTGTCAAGAACTGTCAGCAGGAGAAACTTTTCATAGGTGAACACAAGCAAGATTGAGAGCTGACACTGGGGATTTTCCAAAGAAATGGAAAAAAACTAATACAGGCCACTCATGAGGACAGAGCCAGCAAGAAGCAGGAAGCATATCAGGTTAATATTTTAATTTGTACATCACTTTTTTTTTTTTTTCAAACCATTACACTTTTATTTAAATTAACTTTTTCTTGCAAAATATTCATTTCATTTTTCCAACAAAATCTTATAAAGGCAAAAATAAAATCTTATTTTGGCAAATGTCATGAAGTTGATCCTGGCAGCATATGGAGTTAGTTAAAAATAGACAGCAATGTCTAAATATAGTTAAGATTTTTTTTTTTCCGACCATAGTCAAAGACAAATTTTCATTTAAAGTGTGGCCCCACCCAATTGAGGTTGGTTTTTTTTTTTTCCTTAAAACATCATTTTCTGTATGCAGAATATCATGAGCTCATGACTTAACTAAAGGGCCACAAACACTGCGCCTGGCTTGGCAGCCCCCTCCTCATTGGAGACAGGAAGTCAAGTCCAAATCCTACTGCCTTCCATCAGGGATGTTGGGGGCACACTGCCTGCCCTCTGGCCACCAGACCCATGTCCTGGGGAAGCTGACCTAGGTTCTCCAGGGCAGGCAGCAAAGCCCTATCACAGCCTAGTGTGGAGTCAGGGAGTTTTAGGTAGACGCCACCCAGTGTGAAGTTTATTGCTTATGATACAACAAAAGGTGCTTCCTCTCACCTTTTCTGTATTTCAAAATGTATATATGTATTTTTTTAATTAAAGCAAACTGTTCTGTTTTTCCCAAGAAGAGCCCTTTGCTGAGAGAGCCTCACGAACAGGTTGGGAGCCAAATCTCTTAAATACACTACCGCCCCTAAACCAAACCCAAGGGCCAAGACTTGGGCTCCAAATGGCAGCCTGGTGGAGCTTCCCCGTCCAGAGCTGGTCATCTGGCTAGGTCAGGCACAGCTGACCTCTGCAGCTAAGGACACCTCTTACCCCAGATAGCACGCCAATGAGCCCAATGGGGGGCTCCACTGGAAGCACATATCAAATCCAACCTTCACCTGAGTTCACTGGATGTTGGACTGGCCTCTGCCTGCCCCGCCCTTCTCCCAAACCCACACCTACCACCCACACGGTACCTGAATCTGTATGTGCAGCTCCCAAATCCTGCATCCTCACCTTTCCAGCCACTCAGCCCTTGAGGTGAACATTATAAAATATATTCTGATTCTAAAATACAGCATCAGTATTTTACAGTGTGTATCAAAAGTGCCTTTGTCATATGTAAAAAGGAGTCTGAACTAAAACAAATCGGGGGGTGGGGGTGGTTGTTAGGACCTAGCCCTATGGTGAACTCCTCACAGTTGGTGGGCTGCTCCTTCCTCCAGCCAGAACCCCTGCTGAGCTGGAAGGGGTTTCCTTGGGGGAAGGAAGATCAATCTTCTCGGAAGAAACTGGTTCCACTGGGTCCCTGGCTCCAACTTCTCCTTTGCACGTTGGGTCACGGGTCAGTCACTGCCTGGGCTGGCAAAAAGCACAGGACACAGTGAGGGGCTGGCAGGATCCCAGCCCACATCTGGGGAGCAGGCAGTGGGCATGTCTGTGTATGCACACGACAGGGAATGGCAGGCTGACAAGACAGAGAGCAGCTGAGCAGGGGGCTGGGGCAATGCGGCCGCTGCTGGGGGACCCTCAGCTTCTAGGACTCATGGGCCCCGGGCCCCACCCTTTCTTCACTCCTACCACTTCCAGAAAGTTTTGCCAGACACATGCTGGCCCCTAGATTGGGTCTCTGCTCTGATAGGACAAAAGGCCTGAGCAAAGGGGACTCTGGGGTCAGTTCTGGCCCTGCCCTTCACTCACTGAGTCACTCTGAGTAATGCCCGCTCTCAGCCTCCATGAGTCTCATTTTTTTAACCTAAAAACAGAATGGTCACACCCACCTCCTAGTGAGGATTTACCCTAACAGGAGGGCAAACGGGAATGTGGATGCACTCTGAAAAAAGCATTAAAGGCCTATCTCACAACTACGGGGGCGTCAAAAGCCAGGAGGAACAGGGCCTCTCCCCTGCCTCTTCGTGGCCTGGCATGGTGTCACCACAGCAGGAGAAACCCACACACCCTACTGTGGCCCCAACAGGTCCCTGTAGCCTTTACAAAGGACGTGGCTGGAGCATTTCCCTGTGGTTCTTCAGTCACGGGGTCTCTAATGCACACTTTCTGAGAGCCTGGCCCAAGCAGACCAACCTCTTCCTTCCACCCTCAGGCTGGCAGGGCACCAGGCTGAGGGACACCTGCTGAAAATCACGAACCCCACCCCCAATGCACACACTCTCTGTCCCTCCCTTCTCCAGACACCTAGAGCTCCTGGGGGTGGCCCAGATGAATCCACAGTGGTGACAGGGAACAAAGGCTCTGAACTTGCACCGTAAGGGTTCAAACCCTGGCTCTGACACTTGGAGCTTCAACTCCTTGGGCAAGTCCCTCAAGGTCTCTGAGCTTCATTTCCTCATCTATAAAATGGGGGTGAGTATCTTCATAGGGTGGTTGTGTGGATCGAAGGAGAGGCTTAGCACAATGCCTGGCACATAGGTCCTCAACTATGCCAACCGTAAGTACATACAGAGGAAAGAGAGGGAAACCCTACAAATTGATGGCAAGATGGAACGTCAGGGAGAGGACTGCTGAGACTTCTGGTCTGACTCTCCCCTGTCCGGGTGGGGCAAGTGGGCTCAGGCCACGAACTCACCACAAAACTGGACCAGATGCTGGGCCTCCTGACCCCTAATCCCTCCCTGCCTCTCATCACTAAATGCTCTCATGGGGAGGCCCCACACGGCATGGTCCCAGAACATTCTGAATGCTGAGGGCCAACTTCACATTGTCTTTGGGTGGCCTCCCCGTGAAGCTTCCCTTCCTCTCCCCCTCCTGAGGGGCTCAAGTGCCGAAAAGGGCAGTCCTAGTCCTTGCTCTGACACCAGTTCCATTTGGCCTGGAGTGAGCCTCCATCTCCTCACTGGGCCCGTTTCCGGGATTTTTCTGGTCTTCCAGTTCTTCCAATTCTCTGGCCAAAGCCCAGAGAGGCTGAGACCTACTCTTCTACCCCAAGCTGGCAGCCTGGCCTGCACTGGTCCCTTGGGGCACTGGGCTCCCTGCAGGGAAGAGAGCTGGGGAGAGGGAATACCGTTCTAGCTTCTATTTCAGGGAAGCAGGGGACTTGGATCACCAAGCCTCTCCTGTAGCAAAGCCACTGAGAGCTGAGTTCCTAAAAACCATCCATCCCCCACCCGTCTGCCAGTCAGGGCGGTCTCCTCAGCGGCCGCTTTGCCTGCGGAAGGAAGCAGGAAGCGTCAGTAGGTGGCACTGCAATCATCCTGGCGGCGGCCGAGGGGAGGGGAGGGCATGCTCGGCGCTAGGGGAGGGGCAGGCCAGTCAGGGCTCTTACTTGGAAGGTGTTAGACAAAGGTGTAGTGGAGTCCGTTGCTTAAAGGGGGGTAAGGTGGCACCGTCCTGGAGGACAGGAGGGCTTTAGGCGGGAGGAGGGCCAGCTGCTGCGCTAGACGGACACACAGGAATTAAGCGGGGTGTTAGGCTCCTCATCTGCTCCCTGCAGCACCAGATGCCCCACACTCGGCAGGGCTGCAGTGCGTGGGCCATGCTGCCCACCACTAATGGCCTGGGCAGCACACCCATGGGGCCCGGTGGGGGCCTGGCTGGCATTGGCCCACAGTTCCCAGATATGCCCCTGAGCTAGAGAGAGGGAGCCAGAGTAAGGAAAGGCTGTGGCAAAGGTGGCCACTCGGTGGGGAGGTGCAGGAGGCCCTCCTAATTGCCTGCAGGGTGTGTGCGCCAGGGCAGGCTTGCCTGCCAACCGTAAGGAAGCCGAGGTCCGTGTGGGTAGGGCAAGCACAGGCTAGATACCTTATGGTGTGGGCAGGGGGAGTATCCCTGCTGGACCCCTCAACATGGAAAGGAGTCAAAATGACCAAGATGGGCCACAGGGAGCCCCCAAGATCACTGGGAGGAGGGGTCTGGGTGAGTCTTCTATGGTCTCCCCAGCCACACCAACCACCACTCAGCCCGCTTAGCATGTCTTCAGCAGAGTGAGGACAGCAGGGACTGCAGGGGCTCTATGCAGGATCACAGCGTGGGGGGAAGAGGGAACAGCTTTCCCCTTGTCCGAGGCCACTCCTGTGGCTTCTCGAAGTGATGTTCAAGCTCTGCTCCCCAGAACAGACTTCCAGAGCCAGTCCCCTCAGGGTCCATCAGGCCCCACCCTTCATCACTTCCAGACCCTTTGGCCAGGGTTGGGGGCCCAGGGGGACTGTGACAGCATTTCAGGCTCTATGATCACATCCTCCCTGGAAGGCCTAGCACACAGCTGGCCATGGACACTACCCAGACACACAGTGGCCCCTGCATCTGGGGGACAAATAGCACTGGGTCAACTGGGAGGGCACACACAAGGAGCAGAGATGTGGGAGGGAGGAGCCACACGTCTGTTTCCTGAAGAAAAAGCCTTGTACACACACAGACACAGTCACACACGTGTGCACACGCACACATACCCCTTCCCATCCCATGGGGTAATTTTTTCCCCACTGGCCAGCAAAGTCCCACTTCCCAAGTCCTGCTTACTGGCACAGGCCACTCTGACAAAGGGGACAGTGGCTTTGATTGGGAGCCAAAGCAGGGGTTCCAGGGGGGGCTAGAAGGGCCCCCTTTGCCTTGCCCCAGCAAGAAATCCAAACACCAATGCTTTCCTGCCCCCTTTCTCGTGAAGCCAGAAACCTTCGCCTTGGCCCCTGAGGACCCAGAAAAACCTGTTCTTAACCCACATTCTCAGAGAAAGCTGAACAGCAGCACCACTCCCAGATTTAAGAAGGAGCTAGAGACACCCTCTCCCGGACCTCTTGCCTCTGACACTCCTGAGCCTCAGTTCTCCCACCACCTGCCCCTCCCCACCTCACCTCCCAAGCCCTGGGGTGTTCATGCGACAGGAGAACATGCCACTGCCCCTCAACTACCAAGCCTGACAGCTGGTTTTCTGCAGACTCCCTGACAGGCCATGTTGGGCTCTGAGCCCAAGCAGCGAGTGGGAGCCAGACTTGGAGGCTGGCCTCCTTGGCCTCACCTGCCACCTGCTTGCTGCGCTGGGAGGCCTCGGAGGCCAGCGCGTGGGAGATGTTGATGATACGCGCCTGCTCCAGCAGCTGCGAGTCCAGGTCGGCCACGCTGTTCCGGTCCTGGCCTGATGGCGGCTGTAGGTTGCACATGCTGCAGGAGGGCCAGAAAGCAGGCTATGGGCCCTCCCCACCCTGGCATCTGCCCCAGGAGAGGAGGGTCTCCCAGGCCTAGAGGCTCTCACCTTTTTAGGGAGCATCAGATAAACATAGTGCCCTTTCTCTCTAGACAAAGGTGTATGTGCTTCTCCCAAACACCCAGCCACAGCTTTGTTCCTCCTCTGGGGGATCACGGCCTTAAAAAGAGAGTTCTAGCTCTGCGTTCCTGTTAAATCCTGAAATGAAAAGGCTAACCTAACTCTGAAAGAGAGGCCCTCCAATACCAGGTTTATGCTTCTGAAGCTCTAGGGGCTGAGGAGATAGGAAAGCCTTCCGTCCTGGCCTCCAGGGAAGTGGGCAAGGCCTTTGGCACCTCAGGACAAGGCTGAGCCCCTGGCTCTGGTCTAGGGATCTGTGTGAGGGAACATAGGCTCTAACCCCAGAGGACCAGCCTTGGGGTTGATCTCCAGCTGTGTCCACCTCACTGTCATACTTGGCTCTGCTCCCTACATTTGCCAGCATCTCAAGACACAGATCTGGGGGCAAAGGACCACGGTGGCCCTCTATGTGTATTTCAGGACTTGCAGATGACCTAGCAAACCTCCTCACAGATCCAATGGTGCCATTCTGAGAGCCAGCCTGCCCTTTGCAATAAACAGAGCTTACCTGAGTCAGGGACCTGGCAAAACATGCACCCTAGTCAGCCTGGGCCAGGGCCCAGGTAGTGGAGACACCCCCGGGGTCGGCCTAGCAGGCTGTCAAGACTCGAGCATCGTAAGAGCTGACCTGGAACGAGCAAGGATGTTGCGGATCTTCTCGGCTTTGCGATACCGCGCCTGCAGCTCCTCAAGGCTGGGCGGCTCCTCAGGGTCCAGCTCCACGTAACGCTCAGGGATGGAGACTTTCTCTGGTTTGGCCAGCTGAGAAAAGGACCGGGCGGCGGTGGCAGGCGGGCTCAGATATTGGGTTTAGAATTTGCTCCTCGCCCTGTCCCCCAGCACAAGGAAGCACACGGAGCCCACAGAGTTAAGTAACTTGCTAAGATCAGTGCAGTCCACTGTGGAGTCGGGATCTCAACTGTGTTCTTTCCACCACACCAGATAACCTCCTTCAGGCCAAGGGAAGGGAAGTGGAAAGGCAAGACAGCGAGACTGGAAGCCCTCAGGATAAAATGATTATCCTTAATGCCGCCTTCAATATGAGCTGAGCCCTGCCAACCTACACAGTCACACTGACCCACCGTGTGGTCTCTGCCCCTGCTCTTTCCACTGCATGGGACATTCTTCCGTTCACTCCACTCCTTGTGACCCTTTGGACCTCACTTCCAGAAGTCTTCCCTGCCCCTCCCCACTCTACCCCTGGTATCCCGTCCTGTTTTCTGTTTGTCTCTCTGCTGTCTAGTGCAGGGACCTGACACTCAGTAGCCCTTCAGCAAATACTCCTTGGGTGGGTGGTTACGTGGGTGGATGAAAGCAAATGATAATGCTTTCTGTCCCTACAGAAGCTCCTCTGCTCTACAGCAAGCAGCCATGCAGTATCCACTGGTGGCAAGAGGACAATGTCCCCAGCTCCCCCCAACCAGTCTCTGATGTGAGCCCAGCCCCAACCTCAGCCTGCTGACACCCTGCTTAAACTCAGAATGCTAAAGGCAACTTTTGCATACCCGAGAATTTCTTCCTCCTTGACCTACAAAAGCACATTAAATGAGGTTGGTTGAAGCTTCTAAAAACAAGCTAAATCCAATCCCAGGGCAGATCTGAACTTGAATTTAAACCCATGCAGACCTTTCATTCTAGGGAAAGATGGCAAGAAATCAGCTCTTTTCTGTTATTTCCAATTAGGGCAGATCCAGAGGAAGGAAGCAGATTACATTGTAGCAGGAGGGATTTAGGTTAGAGATAAGAAAGGACTTATTCCCCTGGCTGGCAGGTCAATTAGGACACCATGAAGCATACTTCCACGGCCAAAGCAGCAGGGAGAAGCTTCTTGTGTGAATCTGAGAAAGCACAGACCTTTGGTTGTTGCAGAGGTGCCGAAGGGGAAAGGTCTGAGGGTGGGGGACCAGCTTCCTTAACCTGTGGAGCCCAAGCTGACCCCAGAACTCAGCAACTCCACAGGTATTAATTTTCCCACACCCTGCTAAATCTATCCTTCAAGTAGTGAGAACATTTCCTCTCGTATAGTTTCAGGGCACGCCAAATCCTCATACAAATATTTGTAGGGTATCTGTGGACCCCTGTGTACTTCATTCAACAGAGTTGTCACTTGGGAAATATTTACAGAGCACCTACTGTGTGCCAGGCCCTGTGCGAGGCACTAAGTGCACAGAGAACCAAACAGCCATAGACGCTGTTCTATAGAGCTTACAAACGGCACAATATAGGCCACAGGAGACCTCCCCATGTCTTGGAAGACCCTGAATCTGTCACCCTCTTAATTCCTTGCTCTTCCCTTGGGTAAGACACATTCCTGAATGATAGAAGACCCAGGGGTTACTTGTTTTTCTGGGCCTAGCCAGTCATGATGCATTTGTGCCACCAGAGGGCACTAGAAGAACTCAGACCAGAACTACGGCTCCTCCAGGGCAGGAAATTTCACCTGTGATTTTTCAACGCTGCTCGCCTCCACAAACCGCCCCCCACCCCTAAGTCTAATTGCCCAAGTTGGCCTCACTGGCCAGTCGCAAGGCCAACTCCTAGTTTTCCGGGGAGCATTTCCCAATAACAGCTATCTCATCACATGCCTACTACATGTCACATGCCTACTACATGCCAGGCCCTGTGCTCGTGGTTTTCTGACCACTGCTAATCCTCCAGGCAACGTGCTGAGTCACTTCCTCCTCACCACAACCCACTTTACTGTCGAGGAAACCGAGGCTCAGAGAAGTTAAATGACTTGCCCTCAATTATGGAGATAGAGAGATCGATAGATCTGAATCTGCATCAAAATGCCTTGGCTCTGGGGCGCCTGGGTGGCTCAGTCTGTTATGTGATTGCCTTCCGCTCAGGTCATGATCCCAGGGTCCTGGGATTGAGTCCCGCATCCTGTCCCCTGCTCAGCAGGGAGTCTGCTTCGCTCTCTGCTCATCCTCTCTCTCAAAAATAAATAAATAAAAAATCTTAAAAAAAAAAAATGCCTTGGCTCCTTTTACTACCTCAAGCCACTATTCATCCATTCTCCTGGCCTCCCTGAAGCTGAGCTTTGTCCCCATTCAGGACAACCCCCCCACCCAGTGCCACTGGGAGGGTTGGCCAGGCCACGAGCCAAAGACTGTTTCTCCTGAGAGGACACGAAGGAAGACCCTACCCTCACCTCTCTGCTGATGTCCAAGTCATAGTGTTGAGGCTCCAGGTCCACCTCAGTGACAGGCATGGCCTGCACTTTCAACCAGCCATCGTCTTCCTTGTCCTTTCTCTCCCCTTGCATGGCCCGTTCCAGCAACTGCAGGTCAAAGTCCTGCTCGCGCTTCCACTGGCAACAGAACAAGAAGGGTAAGTCTAGTCACGTCGTGACTGCTACAAGAGCCAGGCATGCCCCCTTTTGGATGGGGCCTGCAGGCACTGGGGTCCGTGGAAAGGGGGCCTGTGACCCGTTGGGAAAAAGCTGTGTGACCGTGAGCCCCTCAGCCTCACCTCTAAAACAAGGCTGTAGCTGTGGGACACAGATGGTCCCTGCAGGGTGCTGTAGCTCCACGTAATGGAGAAGGAGACCTCTGCCCCATTTATACGGCCTGATGCCAGGCTGCTGATTTCTCTCCCATCTGTACCCCCAGAGGATTCACACATACACCTCTAGGGCCCAGTTCTGAGACCCATGACTTCAGACTCACAATCGTCCCCAGAGATACAGGAAGTTTCTAGGTCTAAGAGGGTGACCCCAAAACAGAGCCTGCGACAGAGCTCCAGAGAAGCTGCCCCATTGCTTGTATAAGGCTTTCTGGTTCAGGAGCCATATAACTCAGCTCAGAAATGATGGAAAAAATAAGCCCTTTGAGGTCCTGGTAAGCACGTACCAATAGCCAAGACCTTCTCTAATGGGTACTCCCAAGAGGATACATTTAGGGGTGAGGGATATTGTACCCACATCAGGGTAGGGAAGGTCTAGCTTGGGCCTAAGGAGGCAGCTAAACTGCTGCTTACCCAGGCATCTATTTGGGGGCAGATATTTTAAGTTAGAAAAAAAATAAAACTATGTAAAATTGAAATGCTAAATCAAATGCAACATTTCCCAGGCTCTTCCTTAGTATCAGCTATGTAACAAGCATCTCTTCACAGAGGGAAAAACTAAACTGGCCATTTTAAGATCCAAATGAAACCCTGCAACTCTAGAGGGGCCTTTCAAATCACCTATGGTCTATGTCCTCACAGGCCTTTGACACTGAGCAGGTTGTTGAGAGGAGGGAACAGGCTCAAAGCCTCTCTTTTCTTGAGCAGAAACCAAGCAGATGTTTCTTCATCCCAGCAGACCTCCTCCGTCCCACCCCATACATCTCACAGAGCCCCAAGTGGTCATGATTGTCTTTGATGCCCCCTCAAGTGACCCCAAAGCCCCAAACCCATAGCTATATCAGCACATTTCACCCATTCATGCACAAGCTCTCAATACTGACTCCAAGCCAATATAATTGCCCTTAGGTGATGAGTTCCAATTACGGTATGAAAGGATTAGGCATTTGAAGTTTTAAGGATGAAAAATTAATTTAATGATTTGCAAAGAAAATGCACATTTTCTTACATGCTCACAAATGCCCCAAATAGAGACAAGTCCTCATTGAAACCCAGCCTGATTGTTTCCACAAACAGGAAAAGTTCACTGGACTCTATGATGTATCCTGGGGAAGAACCACGCCAATCCATTGTCATTAAGCAACACGTTTATTGGCGTTGATGCAGAGACTTACACAAGTCTTTTTTAAGAGAAAAATTACAAGATACTCAAGTTACGATTTTTAGATAATCTTGCTACATTTGAGACATCAGGTTGTAAAAGGTCAGTGTTACCCCAAATGACATTTGCTTATAAAGTTTAAAAGTTACTGGCTTTGCAGCTTTTCAGGATATGAGTGTCCTGGGTCTTACCCCTTTGGTATCTGTGCTAACAGCTGCAGAGAGGCCCTCTGAAAACAGAACATAATATATTTTGGCATCCATTCAAATTATATATACTAGAAACACAAAAAGTTTTCCATAAGACTGGAAGAATTAAAACTGAACCACTTTAGACTTGGTGGGATTTATTTAAACGTGCAATCTCTGAAGGCTGTGTCTACTGTCCGGGTGTAAGGCATGGACTTTGATCAACTCATAATGCCTAGACCTCTGCCCATGATCACGGCCCTCAGGCAGCAGGCTGGCTCAGCCTTGTGGGGCGGCTTTTGGGTTAAGTGAATTATGAGTCAGTAGCCCTGCATCATGGGGGCAGCAGAAAGGTGAGTCACACATGGGAGTGCTAGCTAGGCTATGAAGACAAGAGCTGCTATTACAAGCCTGGTAACAAAGAGCACAGGCCCATTAGGGAATGTTCAATGCAAATTAGAAGCTTCCGTCAACACAATCAGGCAGGATTAGAGAGGCAATGAGCGGTAACACTAAAAGCAAAAGAGCTTGTGCGATGAATTAGGGAAAGAGCAGTCTGGCTAGAGGGCTAGGGAAACAGGTGATTTCAAACAACAGGGAAAAGTCAAATGGAATGTTTCCCAAAGGGACAGAAGGGGACTGTGGGCAGGGTGCAGTGCCTGCAAGCACACCAGGGGGCAGCACAGGTCCCCCTGGCTCTCCAGGGGCACCGTGAGGCCTGCCAGCACCACAAGCTGGGGGAGAATGCCAGCCCTCAGGGCTGTGGAGCCCGACCCTGTGCTCAGTTGCTCCGCAGGGCATCGCTCAGAGGTCTGGGAGGCTGGCTGGCTTGCACTCCTCCTCACCAAATCATATCACCATCTTCCTCCTCCATTCCTGAACTCTGTACTCCCAAGTCCTTGATCCAGCTGAGACTCCAAATGCTACAAAGTCCTCTCTCAAGTTCAGCCTGGGGAACAAACTTGGGACATTTTCTCTGGCTGCTAGGCTCCTGCCGTGACATCCTCACTCTTTCTCTGATTCCGGATCACCCTCTGACCAGGTCACACAAGTGGCCCGGGCTGTGGACACACAGCCCGTGGGGTGTTCTCTGAACCATCTCGGTGGAAAGCCTACTCTCTCTGGGGTGTGATGTTCTTGTGTTTGGGGAACTCGGGGAAGCTCTGCTCCCCGTCCCAGCCCCACCTGCCTGGACCCTCCTAACATACTGAGCCGAGATCTCCGGGGAGAGGTTGGCTGAGGTAGCGGGACGAGGGCAGACCCGTCCTCTCTCCTTGGCTCAGCGTCCTCTTGCGCTCCCGGACCAGGGCCTTCTGGTGCCGCTTCATGCGCTCCAATTGCTCCTCCACACTCATCTTGCCCCGCTGGTGGTCCCCTGAGTACAGGCGCTCCAAGGCACTCTTGGGTCTCTGCGGAGCAGGAGGGTGAGAGGCAGCACAGCTGGGCTGGGACCCAAAGGGCAGCCATCATTCCCATCCTCTCTCTCTCACACGCACATGCACGCACACACGCACACACGCACGCACGCACACTCTAGCTCCTCTAAGCACACTCAGGCTCTCTGGAGAGGACCCCATTCTGCAGATGCAGACACTGAGGCCCAGGTCTGTCCAGCTGGACACACATGTAGCATGTGATGGGGCCAGAACTCAGGGTACAGACTTTCTGAGTACCCTCCTCCTGTGAGCCTGAAAGGCAGGAGAGAAAGGTGAGGGGTGGTCCTCAAGAAATGGAGAGAGCCAGATGATGTCCTTCTAGGTGGGCAGTGGGAAAGGTATCACTGAGCACATGGTGACAGGGACCCTGAGCTCAGGAGGGGCTGAGGTCACCTCAGAGGCCATCTCTGGGGCTCACAGGATTGCCAGTCACCATCCACCTCAGAGCCCTTCCCTCTCAAGGCCACTCACAGGGAAGGTCACCTTGCTGCTTTCGGCATTTAGACCCCTCCGGAGCGTGACGTAGGGAGCAATGGTGGATGACTGCTGGAGCCTTGATGTGGACCCCGAGAGCCCTTAATGAGGAAAGAGAAGTGCAAATTATTTGTGATGGGGTGGACAGGCCACCAGCCCCTCCTGAACCACCTCCCACTCCTGAGAGGGGACCATGAGGACCTAGCCAACAACCCATTCTTCTTCCTCCCCAGGGCCTAGAAGAGAAAGGCCCAGTAGAGGATGAGGGGCCAACCCAGGGGTGCTCTTTGTCCCCAGTGGGGAACAACATCCCTGGAGCTCTATAGACCACCCTAGTCTTCCTTCACATGCAGAAGACCCGGGCTGCTTGGCAGGTAGAAAGGATGAAGGGGAAGGAATGCCCTTCATCCTTTCTTCCTGATGCACTCCTATGCATCCTGCATGACCCAACCTGCATGCCCTGCCTGTGTGAAGCCTTCCCAAATGCCCCAGGCAGAATTTATTGTCCTCTATATCCTTCAGTATATGCACTGGTTACCGCACTGACCACAGCGCCAACACAAGTCCAACTAGCTTGCAAATTTAACAATGCCTGCCTGACCGACTGACTGAATGACTGAATGAATAAATGAAGGAAGGAAAAGCAGCAGCACCAAGTATTTATTGAGCACTTAACTATGTAACAGGCAGGCACTGTGCTACGTGTTTTATATAGATTTTGTTCCACTGGCCTGACCACGGAAGCATTACCTGACCATTGTAGAGATGCACAGTCTAAGGCTCAGAGAGGTCAAGAAACTTGTCCAAGGTCACATGGTAGGAATATCACCGACCATGTGCTTCCCATGTCTGGGTCCTATGGCTTAGAGAAATCATGTCACCTTGGCTGGCTGGTGCCACCGCCTGTGCTTTCTCCACTAACACCCATTCTGATCAGCGGTGGTCCCTGACATCTGGAAATGGGCATCACACCGACTGAGGACACCACTAGCACTTAGCACGTAGGGAAAAGAACTATCAGTGCCCTGCAATGCAAAGAGAATCCTGAGCAACAAAGAACTGTCCTGCTCCAAATGCTACCGTCATTGATATACACCTCCAGGCCATAATGAATTAAGGGAACAGTGTCCCTGGGCACAGTGCGAAGGGTTGCTGTGGCCCCCTTCAGCAAAGTCCAGGGCCTACACCCTCCAGGGACCAGCTCAGGGCATAGCATGCCAAGGCTATGTGTGGCGGGCTGGGAGTCCCATAAGCCTGCAGGTGCCAGAACCATAGCTGTGGCTCCTTCTGCTTCTGCACCCGGCCAATGGGGAAAGCACTTGACCGCCCACCTTAGGGAGCAGACAGGAGGATCAGGTGAGGAACAGATGAAGGAGTGTGGTCAGTCTGCTCAGGGATTCCAGGACACCCAGATGCAAAAAGGTCAGACGTCCCTTTAAGGGGATTTCTGAGAAGAGGGTCTGCTATGGGGACAAAGGGGATATGGGAGAACAGTGAGGAGGCGGCCCAACTGAGATAAGTGTGTTTATTTAAAGAAAGGACTCATGGAGTCTTGGAGTGATACAGGAGAGCAAAAATCCCTCTGGAAGGCCTGAGATGGCCAAAGTGATGGCAGTCACCCAACATCCCAGCCTGCAGGGTGCAGTGGCTCTGAAGCCAGAACACTGGGATTGTATTCTGGCTCCATCACTTGTTGGCTATTTGGCAAGTTAGTTAATTTCTCTGAGTCTTAGTTCTCTTATCTCTACAATGGGGATGATGATAATAGTACTTCCTTCATAGGATTATTATAAATATCGACTGGGTGAATATAAAGAGCCTGAAACCGTGCTGGGCTTTAAAGTAATTGCTATTATCATTATTTCCAGGGGCAGATGTAATAAAAGAGGAAGAGAATCAGGATGTGGGCCAGAGGAAGGAAGGACAGGCCCTCCCTGCAGCTCAGAGTCTCCCTGACAACTGCTGCCCCTGCTGAGGCCCCAAGCTGCAGGCAGAAGGGTGTAAGGTACCCGGTGAGCGACCAGGGAGCAGTGGTATGGTAGTAGCGGGGGTTCCCAGAAAGCCTCCATGGACGGGTTTGCCTTACCTCTGCCTGGCAGTGTCTGGTACCTGCTGTCAGGGCCCACTAGTCCCAGGGAGGGCTGGGCCATGTCCCCACTGAAAGTCACCAGCTCAGGCTCACTAACGTATGACCGGAGCTCCACCTGTGGGCAGAGTCTGAGGCTGTCGTACCTGCCCAGTGTCATGCCACCTTCCCTCCCCTCACACACAGCAGGGCAGCCCCAGGGGTCCTCCCTGCTCACCCTTGAGTCCCCATTCACACACTGCCCCTGCTCCCGGTCTCGCTTCCTCTCGTCCGACTGGCGTTTCAGACCCCTCACTGAAGTGTGCCGGATGATAGTGGCCTCCTTTGGCAGAGGTGGCACAGCCGGGGGCTGGTCCTCTGGACTGTAGAGCTCAGGGAGTGGGGGCCTGGGAGGTGCCTCATCTTCCTGCTCAGAAAAAGAACCAGAATCAGTGCCCGGTGAGAGGGAGCTGGAGGGAAGATATCTGGTGGCACCACTAAAGTGGTGGCCCAAAAGACTAGAGCAGGCCTGAGCGGGCCACCTCAGGCCTGCAGAGTAGGACCACTTCAGCCCAGAGATGCCAACATTTCCCCTGGATGAGCTGCAAAGAATGGGGATGCCTCTGCTCTAATTCTATTCTTCCCTTCAATTCACTCATTTTCTACTTTTCAAAGCGTTACCTATACAAAATGTGGTCTCCTGGGTCCGTGGTCTTACTCCACTTCCTTGAAGCGTACCAAGGTGGGGAGGGGGGAATAGGCTGGTAACTCTGTGCTTATCTGTATGTCTATGACAGCACACCACCATCACCGCCACCACCTGGAGAACAAACATCTACCCCATCTACCCCTACCTCAGACCTTTATAGAGTCTGAGAACTCTATAAAAAAGTTCTCAGACTGAGCTGACTCATTGTCCCTGCACGGTCTCTGGATCCTTCAGCAGGTTGCGATCTGAGCAAGGACAGTCTACATCCCCTGTCCATGCCCTTTCTATCACAAATGTGGGTGGCTACAAAATATTTCCTCCTTCCTGATTCAGGGGCTGAATAAGCAGTCAGCAATGGGTGACTCACCACTGCCTTCCTGGCAGCCCACTCCCTGGGTAGTGATGAATAGAACTATTTTCCTTGAAACTGACCCCCCACCCCCTAATAAACATTCTCTGAGGGCTGTGGCTTCTGCACAGACCAAGAGCCTGGCCCCTGACTGCCACGAACACCCACTCCTGGAACCAGGGACCATCCTTCCTAACTGCCCCCCCTTCCTTAGTTTAATTTTGCTTTGTTTTTCAGGATTTTGGAAAGGTCAGAAAAGGGTGCTTAAGTTTGCTCTATGAAGATAGTTTATCAGCATTCTAGTAAAGTGACACAGTTCACTATTGTGTGGAAGTTAAGCCTCCTGTCCCAGATACCCACACAGTCTCTGAGCATCAGCGGCTTCCAACTCTGACAATGTCCTGGAATCACCAATTTCTAAAAGGCTCCCCAGAAAGAGAAACACAAAACATTGACACAAACACAAAACTGCCTTGGACTGAAGAAAAGATGGAGGGTGGGAAGAGACATTTTATTATATACTTTTTTGTATCTTTTGATTTTGTGCCCTTTGAGAATATTATCTAATAGAAAAGTAAGTGACATTAAATTCAAGAAAATAAGCCAAATAAAAATGAAAGAACTATAGCTACATGCAACAATGTGGATAAGTCTCACAAACATAATGTTGAAGACAAGGTACAAGATACAAAAGAATACAGTACCGCGTATAGGCAAAACTCAAGTGTTTAGACACAGGTAGCAAAATTAAAAAAAAAAAAAAAAAGGCAAGGAAATTATCCAAAAAGTCAAGATAGTGATAATGGTTACTTCTGGCAGAAAAGGACTGATGGGCCTGAGGTCTCTAGTTGCAGACAAAGTTCTATTTCTTGGTTTGGGTATTGGTATAAATGGGTGGTCTCTTTATTATTTGTTAAATTATATATTCATGTTTTATGTCAATCTCAGGATATCATTGTTTCACAAACAAAAATATAAAACAAATAAACAACCATAACAAATGGTAAACCTGGTGAAGGAAGGGAAAGAAGACCGCCCCCCCGCCCCCAAGGACTCTGATGTTCAGCCAACTTGAAAAGCCCTGCCTGTGGGCCACAGAGGACTCAGCTGTGAAGAGCCTCTGTGACCATCTATTCCAAGCTGCTTGTTGTACACAAGGGGAAACTGAGGAAGTCCTTGCCCAAGGACCCAGTGAGAGAACAAGAACTGCAATCCAGGCAGTCCAGCTCCCAGGCTACCATATTTTCCCCTCTGCTCCTCATCCTGGCTAGCAGGCATTTTGCCTTAAGTCAGAAGCTGTCTGCCCTAGCCGTTTCTGCTGTGTTTTACTATTTCCCACCTCCTGTTTTGTGACCTCTTAGATATAAAATTGGGAAGGAGACCTCAATGTGAAGAAATTCACAATGACTCAGTCCCAGCATCTGTCTTCCAGCTCTGGGCCCTGGGAGATGGCTGGAAGTAGGTAGACAGTGAGGACCACGGTATGGAAACTTGCATGTTTTAGCCAGCACTGCACACCAACCCTGTCAGAGGTCCTAGGCACACCCCGTGCCCAGGCAAAGCTCCTCTAAGCCTTTGTTGGCATAACCTGGAGGTCCCCTCTACTATGGCTTCCCTGTCACTTGGACCAGATCCCTGGTATTCTCCAGCCAAGGCTGGCCTGGCACTGGAGATGTGAACCATCACAGTACCTGACCACATCTTCTATTTTCTTAAAGTCTCCTGTGCTCCCAGACTCTGTCAAAAGCTTGGCCCTTCTCTCTGCCAGGCAAGCCAAGGTACTGGCTCAGGCAACCACAGGGGCCACAAACCTGATCTGAGGATCTGGGCTGAACGTCCAATTAGATGGTAGATGGCACAAAGAACAGGAGATGTGGATTGGATCCGCTAACATGGAGACCTTCAGTAAATGTTAATACCTTTGGGCCTCAGATCTCTTACGTGGGGGATGGGATATAGACCTTCCTGTCTATACTCCATGAGGTTATTGTGAAGATCAACTGTATCCTACAACCCAGCAGAGTGTTCAACTGCTAGTGAAGACAAAGACACTCTTTTGCTGAGAGGAGTCCATCACCCACAGGCTTGAGTAACTACAGCTTTGCATGGAGTCCACGTGGGGCAACCACCTGCTCTGTGTGATATGTATCACAAATTCCATCCTACTTAGCACAGTCACTTCCTCTTGCTGGGCCTCAGTTTTCCCAACTGCAAAATGGGAAGACTGGGCTAGATCCTCTCTAAGGGCCCTTCCAGTTCTGGAAGTCTAAAGCACAACGTTTGGCTCCACCACTCTTTTAACTGTTCATAGCTTGGGACTCTGGCTGGTTCTGTCTCCCCAGGTTTCCCCAAAAGCTTCTCTTCCAACAGAAGCTGACCTGAGGACAGAGAGAGACAATCATCTCCCAGGGAGAAAACAATGGCGCTCAGCTCCTGGTCATCAATACTTACAACTTTGGGCTTCGTCTTGGTTGGTGACTGAAGAGGGGATGTCACTTTCCTCAGTTGGGGTGGATGAGGTCGGTACGGCACATAGGTTTGCAGCTGGGGGAAGAGTCGAACCTCCAGAGGGGTCCTCACGGGGCTGGTGGGAGGGCTGGGCTGTGGGGGCGGCTTGCTCTCAGAAGTCGAGAGTGAAGGCACAGGCGGGTGAGGAAACAAAGGCACCGTTTTTCTCTCTAAGGGGCATGGAGGGAAACAAAGGATGGGCTGCAACAAGGACCTTCTTCCTTGGAGACAAGGTGAGTGACTTATGCCATAAAGACCTGACCTCCCCAACAGTCAGCCCGTATACGTGGGTGCTGGCCTCCAATCCCTCCACCCCCAGGAAAATTGCCCACTCACCTGGATTTTTTTTTTTTTTTTTAAGATTTTATTTATTTATTTTACAGAGAGACATAGTAAGAGCAGGAACACAAGCAGGGGTAGTGGAAGAGGGAGAAGCAGCCTCCCTGCAGAGCAGGGAGCCCAATGCGGGGCTCGATCCCAGGACCCAGGGATCATGACCTGAGCCGAAGGCAGACGCTTAATGACTGAGCCACCCAGGCGCCCCCTCACCTGGATTTTTGACCGATTCCACCAGGATTCTAAAGTTCTCTTTATTTGCACTCAGGCCTGCAATGACATCTTCAATCCTCCAGAGATCTTTCTGTATCTGCGATTTCTCCTGAGAAAGACAAGGTGGTGGTTCATTTCCTTCTTAGCACTTCACCAGAAGTTTCTCATTAGGACTTAGGCTGTCATTTCAGACATAGTCCCTCACCCTAGGGGGGGCGGGGGCAGCATCCTCTTTGGAAACTCCACCAGGGCTAGACCCATGCCTGCCTCGGAGCTTCACATGGAAGCACACATATAGAAGACGCCCAAGATCCAGGGGAGAAATTCAGAGGAGCTTTCTCTGATTCACCTTGCCTAGGTCCCCCTAATTTAAAAAAAAAAAAAAAAATTGCCTTAAATACTGCACACTTCCACTTATAAAGTATCTACAGTAATCAAAGTCAGAGACAGAAGAGTGGTTACCAGAGGCCGGGGTAGAGATGGGAATGAGGAATATTGTTTAATGGGTACAGGGTTCCAGTTTTGCAAGATGAGGAGAGTTCTGAAAATTGGCTGCACAGTGTGAATGTACCTAACACTATTCACCTGCACACTAAAAATGACTAAGGTAATAAGCTTTATGTTATGCATATTTTATCACAATTAAAAAAAAAAACAATAGACTGTTTTAGGCAACCATGGCAGAAGGGAAGAGAAGGCAGAGACGAGAGGTGACACTATCCCCAGAATATAAAGAGCATCTTTGAAAAGACAAAGCTGAATCCTGGGATTTGAGGTTCATTTACAGGCACAATGGGCAGTGAACATTTGGCAATAAAAAGAAATGAAGTATTGATACGTGTTACAACATGGACCAACCTTGAAAATGTTTCCGCCGTGTGAAAGAAGCTAGACACAAAGGCCACATTTTATATGATTTCACTTATACAGAATGTCCAGAATACGTAAATCCATAGAGACACAAAGTGTAACAGTGGTTGGCTAGAGCAGAGCTGGGGAGTTCGGGGATGATGAAAATGTTATAAAATTGATTGTGGTGATAGTTGCACAACTCTGAATATTCTAAAAACCACTGAAATGTAGACTTTAAAAGGGTGAATTTTATGGTATGTGAATTATGTAATAAAATCATTATTTTTTTAAAAGTACATGTCCACATGCACACTCTGACAAGTCACAAACGATACCAGATAGGGGTAGGTCCTAGAAAAAGGTGAGCAGGTTTTATCACGATTAAGGGACTCTGGGCATTTTACTGAGTACAGCTGACACACGTTACATCAGTTTCAGGTGTGCAACATTGTGATTCAACTTCTCTACAGCTTACACGATGCTCACAAGTGTAGCTACCATCTGTCAAGATAAAACACTATTACAATATTATTATATTCCCTATGCTGTGCCTTTTATTCCCACAATTTATTCATTCCATAACTGGAAGCCTGTACCTCCCACTCCTCCTCACCTGTTTTGTGCGTTACCCCCAACCCCCTTCCCTCTGGCAACCATCAGCTTGTTCTCTGTGCTTATAGCTCTGATTCTTTGTTTTGTTTAGTCTTTTGTTTTTTAGATTCCACATGACTGAAATCATGCGGCATTTGTCTTTCTCAGTCTGACTTATTTCACTTAGCATAATACCCTCTAGGACCATCCATGTTCTTGCAAATGGCATGAGCTCATCTTTTTTATAACTGTATAACATTCCATTGTGTGTGTGTGTATAATACATCTTCTTTAGAAATCTGTCTAGCAATGGACATTTAGGTTGCTTCCGTATCTTGGCTATTGTAAATATGCTTCAATAAACATAGGGGTGCATATATCTTTTCAAATTAGTGTTTTCATTTCCTTTGCCTAAAAACCCAGTAGAGGAATTGTTGGATCATATGGCATTTCTAATTTTTTTTGAGGAACCTCCATGCTGTTTTCCCGAGTAGCTGCAGCAATTTACACTCCCACCAGATAGTACATGAGGGTCCTCCTCCACATCTTCACCAACATTTATTTCTTGTCTTTTTGATTTTAGCCATTCCGACAGGTATAAGGTGATCTCATTGTGGTTTTGATTTGCATTTCCCTGATGATGACTGATGTTGAGCATTTTTTCATGTGTCTGTTGGCCATCTGTGTATCCTTGGAAAAATGTCTATTAGGGTCCTCTGCCCATTTTTAAATGTTTTTTATTCTCTGGGTTGTTTTTTGTTTTTTTGGTGTTGACTTGTATAAGTCCTTTATATATTTTGGATATTACCCTGTGGACACCTTTTAATAGAGTTGTTTAAACATCAAATATTCTTTTAATTTTTAAAATTATTGTGGGAGAAGTTAGCCTTGATCACTCCCCATGGACTTAAAAACAAAGGCTTCACACCCCATCTCCTCTCAAGGCACCCAGCCACCCTCAAGTGGAAGAATTCTTACATGTGTGATACTTAGGGACTTTCCTGATTCTACAAGTAGACTATGTGCCCTTGGTATATCTCCACAGGCCTGCATTTCAGACACAGAACTATAACTTATATATGTTATAGTCCCAAGCTATGAACAGTTAAAGAGTGGTGGAGCCAAATGTTGTGCTTTAGACTTCCAGAACTGGAAGGGCGCTTAGAGAGGATCTAGCCCAGTCTTCCCATTTTAATGATTCACAGTTTCTTTTTTTTTTTAATTAGCATATAATGTATTATTTGTTTCAGAGGTAGAGGTCTGTGATTCATCAGTCTTACACAATTCACAGCGCTCACCAGAGCACATACCCTCCCCAGTGTCCATCCCCCACCATCCCCCCCCTCCAACAACCCTCAGTTTGTTTCCTGAGATTAAGAGTCTCTAATCATTTCTCTCCCTCTCTGGTTTCATCTTGTTTCATTTTTTCCTCCTGTCCCCTGTAATCCAGGTTCTTAGCACATGGATGGTGAGTGAAAAAAGGCCCAATCATAGCAGGAGGGGAAAAATGAAGGGGGCGGAAATCAGAGGAGGAGACGAACCATGAGAGACTATGGACTCTGAAAAACAAACTGAAGGTTCTAGAGGGGAGGGGGATGGGAGGATGGGTTAGCCTGGTGGTGGGTATTGGGGAGGGCACGTTCTGTGTGGAGCACTGGGTGTTGTATGCAAACAATGAATCATGGAACGCTATGGAACGCTACATCAAAAACTAATGATGTAATGTATGGTGATTAACATAACAATAAAATTAAAAAAACTAATGATGTAATGTATGGTGATTAACATAACATTAAAAAAAAGGCCCAATCACATAAAATTCCCTGATCAAATGTCCAACAGCTGAGACAACAGATGTCTGAAGCCTCGCTCCTAAGGGAGCTCACATTCTCATACTCTCTCCACCCTTCCAACACCAATGCACATCCTCAGGACTGATAAATAAGGAACGGGCTTGATGCTCAGCTCCACACCAAGCACGACAGACATAGTATTGAACCCCGAGTGTGTGTGTGTGTGTGTGCGTGCGCACGCGTGCGCACTACCAGGATTATCTCAGGAGCAGAGGTCCCCAAGTAGAGTGCTGGGGACAGGTAAAGGAGGAGCGTCAGATTTAAATCAACTCTCTCCCCTCTCCTCTGGAAGTCTACCTGGCCATATTTTTACCTGTTAGTTTGCAGTTCTGCCCCCATTTAGCCTTTCTGTCATCCCCACATGTAAGAGAAGAGCAAGGGCAAGCAAAAGCCAGAGAACCTCTAAGGTTCTCCAAGGACGATGGAATTTCAGAAAATAACAAGGTGAAGAAAGTTTTTAGGAAGCAGGGGGTGGTGTTTCATCCCTGGATCCTCACACCATGCTGGGCAGAAAGGCTCCTGTGGACTGCATTCAGCAAACGCCTGAACTTGTTCAGAAGCAGGGACACATACAGGTAGCCTCACTATCACTGCCTCTCACAGTTACTTCAATGTTCTTTTATTCTCTGGCTTCCCTGTGCGGGGAGTCACAAGGATCTTTATAAATAAAGCCACTCATCTTTACTGAAAAGCCTGTGAATTTTCTCACAGCCAAACCTGGCTAAAGGGAGACAGGTTCCAAGCCCCTTCCTGAGAATGTGTATATAGGGCTGCACACATATCTCCACTGTTCATGATTTATTCAGGACTCTAACAGCTTGCCTGGCCTAGAATTACACCAAAGAAGTTAGCACAAAGCCTGTTCAAAGAAGGGCTTTGTGAGCTTCCCAGATCCTTGTGGCAATCGGGGAAAGTATGAGCAACGCCACCAGGGTAGGTGGAAGTCAAGTTGCAGAGGCTACGTTTCAAACTAGCCTATCTCTTCATAACTTACTTATGTGGTTAAGTTCTTCAGGGAGTCCGTGACGAGACTTGTACATTGTACCCATTTGTTTTCCAGGGCAGAGAAAGGGATTCTCGGACTGTGGTATGTTAAGTCACCACGAAATAAGGCATGGTAGAAACACCAAATGGCCAAGGACCACATAAAAAGATATTTAACCTACTAGTAATTAAATAAATGCAAATTAAAACAAGATGTCCCTTTTCAGCCAGCAGACTGGCAAAGACTAAAAAGACTGATAACATCAAGTACTGAAGAGGATGTGGATAAACAGGCTCAGCACCCTCATTCACTGCGAATGGGAGGGCAAATGAGTGCAGCCTTTTAGAGGGTGATTGGCCAGCATCCACCAACATTTCAGATGTACACTCATTTCAATTTAGCAAGTCCATCCTAGGAGCGCATCTTCGATAAATGCTTATAAATGAGTTTGAAAGGGCAGTTAGATAGATGCCCACTGTGGTACCATTTATAAAAGCAAAACACTGCAAATAACTTAAATGCCCATCAGAAAAGAATGGCTAAAGTATGGAATATTGAGACTACGAAATACTATGCAGCAGTTAGGAACTAATTTCTTTTACTTTACACAGCTGAGATTATGGAAATCTTATAATCTGTGCTGTTCGAATACAGTAGCCACTAGACACATGTGGCTACTGAGCATTTGAAATGATTCTAGTGTAACTGAGGAATCTATTTTTAATTTTAGTTAATTTCAATTAATTTATGTTTACACTTAAATAGCTACTTTATCAGGCAACATAAACTTGGGGGTATCTTTCCTGGAGAGATTTCCACAACATGAGGTTATGGCAAAAAAGCAAGTTACTGAACAATGTGTTAAGTATGATTCCTCTTTAAGTAAATCCAACTCCCATCTCCAAATAAATTATATGACTCTATATGGATGGGCATATGTTAGAAAACTCACAGAAGATGGTATGGAAAGCAATACCACATAGTGATGGCACGGATTACATACAGGGAAGGTGATGGGAAAGGGAAGGGAGGCAGAGAAGCTTTTATTTCATTTTTTGCTTTTGCTTTTTATCGTTTGGCCTTTTCGGAGAGATGCTGCATTCATGTGTTATTTTTATAGTTATAGAAACACAAGGAATGAAAAGCTAAAAAAAAAAAAACACTGCTAAAATTAATTAAAGAAGATCCAAGAAGATAAGTATAATGGGATAGAACAGTTTAAGGAACTAGTAACTAGAAAATAATCATTTGAAAGACACTGTCAACAATATTCACCTAGTATTTTCAAGCCACTATGCCAAGTCCTGGGGTACCAAATAAGAACAGGAAAATGTTAGTTGGATACAGGGAAATTATGGGGGGGGGGAAACAGCAGCAGCAGGAGATGGACAACTTCTGGGGGACCTAGCAGACCAGCCCTGAGCTACAGGCAAGCATCTTTTCCACATGGCCTTGGACCAGGCTTTCTGGGAATCAGCTCCCAATGCTGAGTGGAGGGACAGCAGGCTTTTCCCAGGTCACACACCTAATCCCCCTCCTGAATTCCTTCAATCTTTGGGCAGGCTGATATCCAGAGTCAATATATTCATGAAATCACTTGAAGGAAGAGCCTGGGCTAGCACTAGTTCATAGATTAGCAAACTTAGCACCAAAATTGGCCTAGCATGGTGCCTCAGGCACACGAAGTCTCCATTAATGCTTGCTGATTTCAAATACATTGGATTTATGTCAGAGAAGATATGATAGAGCTGAAGCTGGGTTCAAAAGCAGGTTATTTTCCATTTTTAAAAATTTGAGGGTGGGGCAGAAGCCTGATCAGGCACCACAATGGGGAAACACTGGGTAGCTGCAGGACCCAACTGGGGAGAACAAAAACCACACAGGGCCTTTCTTCTCTCACCTTTGGGGGCAGAGGCAGCCATCATCGGAATGGCCTGGTTTGTAAGGGTAGAGGAGCCAGGGCTCTAAGCTTAGCTGCCTTTCCTGAGTGGGGCAGTGGCCACAGCGACGGGTATCTCCCAGCCTGGCTCCAGAAATGCAAGTGACCACCTGGAGACCAGAGGCACCAAGATGGACCTGGATTCACACTACCTCCTCAGGTGAAGGACTGATAACATCTACCTTCAAGAATCGGAGGGAGGAAGGGAAGGAGGAAGGAAGGAAGGAATTGGGGGTTCCTGCTGCTGTCTAAGTGAGTAGCGCCAAGATGGGGCAGAGAATCACAGGAATATAGATCATTCTCAAGTCTCTGTAAGGTTCTCAAGTTTGGTTATTTCTTTCCTCTCAGGGCTGTTTCCCCAAATGATCAGTAGTAAAACCCTTACAAAAACCCAAGAACTTGTCTTCGAGAGGAGAGAGGTAGGGGTTGCTGAGGTGAGTTTTCTCATCACAGCCTGGCAGGGATCCCTGAGTGAGAGCTTGGGGGGCAAGCAAGCTGAGTCCCAGAAGAAGAAGAAAAGGCCCCTGGATAGGGCTCACAGCCCCACAGGTGAAGGCTCTCAGAAGGAACAGAGCTTGGTTCACCTGGAAAAAAAAGGCTCTTCTGTGTTGCTCTTGCAGGGTCTGCTTCAGCTGCTCCACATCACTCTCTAACTTCAGGTATTCATTCCATGCATTTTCCATCTCCTGTTGGCCAAGGAAATGCTCCTGAGTTTTAGTTATCCCCTGTCTCCCAGACGGCCCCATGAGCACCTGTGCTCTTGACCACTGCTGACCCAGCCAGGGCAAGAGGGAAGGGGAGCCCAGCAGGTCTCAGGCAGGCCTAGGAGGAGAGAGACAGGGCTTGTCTTCTCATTCCTGCTCTGACCCTGGCCACCTGAACTGTCCCCTCTCCCACCGCTGGAGACGCTTTGGTCCCCAGCCCCGGCAGAAAGGGCCTGCACCACATCAGATGGACAAATACAAAAGCAGAAATTCTGATGTCTTGGAATTAACTGCACACAGATCAGGGAAATCTGGTCCCTTGGGTGTCACTGTAGCCATACAGCAGTCACTGATGGAAAGCATCTTGAGGTACCAGCAGAGACAGACACGTGAGCCCCAGACAAGCTGAACTACCATCAGGAGGCAACCTGGAGAAGTTCTGCTACTCCAAGACTCGTCCCTGGCCACCAACTCAACTACAGCTTGTGAGATAGGAGAAGCACCCCCCTGCCCAGCCCCCTGCCCAGTTGGGGGTGGGAGATGGGGGCAGGGGAGTGTCTGCCACCCTCCACACCCTCTACACACAGTGGACTCTCTGGAGATCTCTGCCCGGATGTGGACAAGGTCCTCCTGCAGCAACCTCTGCTGGTGAGCAATCTTCTCCAGGTGCGGGGGCTGGTCTCGGTACTGCTCCATCTGTCTGTGCAATACCTCCAACACAGACTCCAGCTGGTCCTGCACCGGGCAAGGGCCAAAGAACAACAGGATAGCAGGACAGCCCCTGGAGGCCTCCCCACCCCATGCCAGGAACTAAACAAACCTGCTGGGTCTAACTGAGGCTGAAGGGCCCACTGCCCAGCTGGGGCCTCTGATTCCAGCTCTAACTCTGCCCACTGGGTGGCCTCCTGGGACAAGTCACCTAACAGCTCTGTGCCTCAGTTTTCTCATCTATGAAGTGGGTATAAGGTCATCCACTCTTTATGTGATAAGTGATGTATGAGGATACATCAAAGACTAGATGGAAAATTCTCTTTTCTTGGGGAAAAGGGCATGTTATGAATCTCCAGCATCACAAGTATAATACCTTATTAAAATTCAAAAAAGAAAAAAAAATCATACTAAGTATCCAAGAAACCAAACATGGGCCCCTGGCCTATTCCTCCCCTCCAATCCAGACTCGCTTCCTCTGTAGCCCAGATCCTAGGAGGAAAGAAGCTTATTAGGAAATGACAGCCTCCGTCTTGTTACAAGCGTGGCCACTTTCTCCAAGGCAGCCCCCTTCCATGGAGTTCAAGGGCTTGGGGTCATCACAATAAGCCAGCAGAGCCCTCCTCTCCCAGGCTGACCTCACGAGGTCTCCAAGGAGAGGTAGGCCAGAGCAGAAATAAGGTGGATGAGGGGTAGGTGGCACTTGGAATAAGCAGGCTGAAGTCTCCCCATAAGATTTCCTCCAGGTTTAGGCAGAAATGAACACATTGTTCTGAATAAACTAATACCTGTTCTGGATAAATGAATACCTGTGACATGAGAGTCCAATCTATATCTGAGGAAAGACAGCATGACAAACCCCCCCCCACTCAGCCCAAGATTATGCAAAACTGATGCATACTTTGTTCTCCTTGAGGGCTCGGATCTTGTCTTCCAAGTCCTGGAGGATCCTGTCTTGTTCGCAGAAGACGCTCAGTTTGACCTGTGAGCAAGAACAGGTTGGAGAGGGCCCAGGATGATGAGAAAAGGGCACAACCTTGAAGCGCGATCAGAAAGCCTTTGGCTACGGAACCATCCAAGCCCTGCCTGAAGCCGCCCGCCTTGGGTCGGCTGGCAGCAGGCAGCCGGGGGGGTGGGGGAGGGCCAGCCTGTCGCCCTGCTCACTCACGTCAATGTCACTCTCCGCAATCTTCACGGGCTTCAGACTTCGATCCTTGACAAGGTCCCGGCCTGTCATCTGGGAGGTGAACAATTTAAAGGAGATTAACCATGAGGTTCAGGATTAGATCTCGAGAAGGAGAGTTAGCCCCACGATGGACGAGTGTGGAAGTCTTGGCGGGTAGGGTCATGGTATGAAATGGGCAAAAACTCAGGCGAGGCCTGATTTTTATGCCTACTTCATTTTAGGGAAAAACCAAAACCTTTTTGTGATCCAAGAAGCACTTGTAAATTTCTCAAATTTAAAGAAAAAGTAGACATTGACTGTAGAAGCTTAATTTGCCCAAAATGAGTTCAGTATGAATCCTGGAAGATTTAAAAGACAAGAGTTTTGCTACCAAACCTGGGGTCAAACCCAAGTTACAGAAGTCTATGACCCCCAGCCCAGGGCAGGGAGGCGGACCAGGAGGAACCAGTGAGTACCTGGGGCATCGCCAAGCCTTAGTTTAAGGAAGCCCCTGAGCTGCTTACCTCCCCACGAACAAGGTCAGCCTTTCTCACTCTACATCATTTGGGAGGAAAATCAGGTCAAGGAATGAAGGAACCTGGATAATTCCTGGCTGGGGTTTTCAATTGATCCCTGAGTAACTGAGGCAGGTCATATTTATATAAGTCACAAGTTACCCTGTCCTCTCAAGAAAGGAAACCAAAAAGCAGTAGACAAAAATCACCAAACTTATGGGTCAGTGGGCACTCACAACATTGTCCATCCTTCCCTTGACCTCATGTGGGCACCACGCTGGCATCTCCCACTGACCCCTACAAAGCTAAACCCAACTCTTTAGTCCATGTTTTCACTTCCCCTAATCTCCTACTTGCCAAAAGCTATGTGGGATGGGGGTGGGGAGACTTTTCCACAGATGCACACCCCCACCCCCCACAGCCAAGCCATGGTCAGAGAGAGCCAGGTTGAATGTGCCCCATGCAGGGAAGGCCATCTTGCTGAGTTCCATTTTACAGATGTGACAGGGAAACAGAGGGTGGAACCCCTCTCTTCCATGAGACAGATGGTGTGTATACTATGCTGAGGGTCCCAGTGTTGATGGACAGACAGCTGCTGGAGAGATGGCCCTCACTTTCTCCCTACTCCATCTGAGAGGTCCAGTAAGTTGTGTGAATAAAAAGCAAGAATATATTGGCAAACATTCCCCTCAGAACTCAAGCCATTCATGTGCCCAACTGTCCTGCACTCCTTCTCATTATCATCATCAGCGAATGCCAAGGTCAAGGTCAAGGGACGATGCCCTCTCCATGCCTTGGGCTGAGGACGGAGTCTGGCTGCAGACACACCCCCAACCCATTCCCATGCTCCCTTTGGTCACACAGCAGAGGGCAGGGACCACCGTCTTATTTATCTTGGTAAAGTCAGCCCTGAACATAAAGCCTGGCACGCTGGAAGGCACTGAGCAAATGCTTATTGCATTGGAGGTAGGTCAAAGGGAAACACATGTGGGTCAGTAGAATTCCTGGAAAAAGTAGAACTCCAGCCAAATTCTGCTCTTCGGACTGGCAGATTATGTGTACATACATACACACACACACAGTCACAGGAAACATGGACTACTGCCACAATCCACAAACTGCTGGCTCTGCAAGGACACAGGGCTGGAAAAGGTGGGGAGAGGAAGCGGAGGGAGAAGATGGGGGAGGGGTGGAATTAATCCTGGTGAACCCCAACAGCTGACCTCCCAGGCAGGACGTGGGCCTTTAAACTCAGGGGAACCCAGCAGGTAAAGGTAAGGTGGTCACTCTGGGTCACAGTCCATCAAAGCAGAGGACAATGAGCTTGTCTACTCTCCAAGGGGCTGATCCTTGGCTCACTTCCTAGGAAGAAATCATTTTCAAATTGAGATATGCTGTGGAGATTTTTTTTCCTCCTAGCAAAACCCTTCCCTTTATTTCACTGAGTATCAAAAAGATATATTTTTGATAACTGAAATAGCAAGGCAGAGCATCTGATTGAGCAATGCCTCATTTACCCAACACCATCAGGAAAGGAATGACGTATTCTACATAAAAAGGACATTTTGAGAAAGCTGAACCTTTTAAACCTTTTGATGGAAAGGTTTTTAAAAGTAAGTCCTACGCTGCCTTCATAGAACTGAATATAAATTCAACCTTTCAGGGATGAATCAGAGTCATTATAAAAACCAGTAATATGGAATTTCTTAGAAGTCAGTGTTTTAGGACTATGTGCCCCTTGATTAAATGCTCTTAAATTTCTGTGCTTTCGTTTCCGTTGTAGATTGACACATAATTTTTTTTTCCCCTCTCAGAATATTAGTATGCCCTCTTTTCTAAGAAGTAACTCTCTCGTCCCCTTTTAAGGGCTGCATTTAAGGTGCTGTAAGTTAGGAATTCAAACGGCTGAATCTGTTAGGACTGGAGATTCAACCGGCCACATGCTGATTTTCCGGAACTCCCTCCCTCCAATGGGTCTGGTGCCCTTCAGGGGTGGTCCTTCCATACCTCGTGTCTCCCAGTCTATGGGCCTTCATACATCAGATGATATGCTCTGTCTCCCCTCAGTCGACAGTAACCTGATTAGGGGTGACTGTGGGGACAGTGACATATTTTCATATTTTCTCTGTATCCTTAAAGTCCAGTCAGGGCCCAGTATATTAAGGATATTTGGGAAATGTTTGCTAAATGAACCTGTGAATGTAACAAAATAAAGTGAGTTGGCTCTACTCATATGGAATAAAGGGCACATGCTTTAGAGCGTGAGCTTCATGAAAGTGTTTACACAGCTCAGAGGCCCTTGAAACTTCTGAATTTAGTTTTGTTCCAGAGAGTCAAGGCTATTACAAAGTATCCACAAGTATTTTATTACATCTAATTTTCCTTTTTAAACTGTGCTTTGTGATAGCAATGTTTTGATCCATTTAAAATGTCAACTATGGGTCTCCAGCATCTCTGTCACCAGCAAAAGTGGAAGTCAGTGGGCATTCATCCCCTTGAAAGAGTCTGTGCAACAGAAAAGAACTGAAGGCCACCCAAGCATTTTACTTCACCCTTCACCTCATCCCAACACACCTTTTCTCAGGGCTCAGGATGACTGCACATAGCACCTGCTTCCCAACGCAGCCTCCCTTAGAAAGCTATAAAAGCTGGCCACATTTCAGGTGCTACTTCTGCATCAGCCAAAGCGGGGACCCAGGGCAGGGGGGGAACATCTTGTTCTAGCCCTGCTTTAGACTGTTTTCAAATATTGACACCCTGCCCTGAAGAAAAGCCACCCTAATCCCAGGGCCATGGTGGAATCTCAGGATACCCCAGCTCCTCCAAGGTGACCAGGAACTGCTGTTCCTTCCCAAGGAACTCACGCTTGACTACACAGACCACACTGGTGTTGGTCGAGGTCAGTCCTCACCATGGAGGCAGATGAGAGAGAATGGGAACACAACACAAGCTGGTGGCAAGCCAGGCAAGCCCCCCCTCCCCTGTGGCAGCACAAAAGATGGAGTCACGGAACACTGCAGATGAGAGGCTCAGCCTGGTGCACCAGCCAAAATGCTGAAGGGAGCTTCAAAAGGAGAAAAAAATAAAACCAAAATGACTTGCAGGAAGCCTGGGGGCGGTCAGGAGAGCCCCTGGTTAAGCAAGTGATGAGGTCGGCACTGAGCCAGAAGCAATGGAATGGCCCGCTTGGAGACACAGATCAGATCATCTTACGCTTCTCCTGGGCCGACAGCCCCGTGCTGACTTCTTCAGCACTTTGTAAAGCACGTTGATCAAAGGTTCATTATTTTTTATCTGTTCCAAACAAAAAGGCAAATATAACAAAATGTAACAGGTGAGACATCAAAAGACACTTGAAGGAGCCAGAATTTGGGGAACTGGCCAGGGGAAACCTTAAGGAGGATGTGTGCTGTGCAATTCAAATGATCGTGTCTCAGTCTGGTTGTGCTGCTTCCCAGTTGCTGGCCTTTACAGACTTCCGTTCCCTCGCTGATAAAATGGAGGACAAGAAGCTCTGCCTGAAGGATCTTTGTGTAGACTAGTTTATGGGAGAGGGCCAATGTCAGGGCCCATATCCTTCCAGTTCCTCCTGCAGAAGGCAAGAGGAAATTTTGCTTCTTCCTTTGTCCTCCTTCACCTTATGCCATGAGACACTGAATCACTAGGATGGTGCTAGGCATTAGTCTCATCCCTACCCCATATTTTCCAACTTCAGTCCCCCAGACCCTCGCCTCCACACTATGTTCATCTAAATAATGATGTCTTACCAGTGATCCCAAGTGCTTACAGCTCCTTTGAGGGAACACTGTCCCTACCTGCTCAAACAGTGCATCTCAACCCTGGCTGAACACCAGCATTACCTAGGTGGTTTAAAAAAATACAAACTGATGCCTGAGTTGTACTCCAGGAGACTCAGATATAAATTAGTTTGGGGTGGAGCCTGAGCATCCAGATCCTTTTAACAGTCCCCCTTGGATGATACTGATTTGCAGCCAAGACTGGGAACTGCTACTACTGCAAAAAGTGATTCTCAAACTTTAGTATCACCTGGAGGGCTTGTTAATACAGCTCATCCTTGAGAACACGGGTTTAAATCATGAGGGCCCACTGGATTTTTTCCAATAAATGCAGTCCAGTCCCATAAATTTTTTCTCTATGATTTTCTTATCATTTCCTTTTCTCCAGCTTACTCTATTATGAGAATACAGTCTGTAATACATATAACATACAAAATATGTGTTAATTGATTGTTTAGTTATCGGTAAAGCTTCCTGTCAACAGTAGGCTATTAATAAATTTGGGGGGGGAATCAAGTTATACCTGGATTTGCAACTGTGCAAGAAGTTGGTGCCCCTGACCCACACAATGTTCAAGGGTCAACACTACACAGATTTGCTGAGCCCCATATTCAGAGGTTCTCACTGAGCTGATCTGGGGTGGGACCCAAGATTTTGCATTTCTAACAAATTCTCAGGTATTGCTGATGCTGTTGGTCTGGGATCACACTTTGAGAACCATTGCTTTGAAACAATGTTTCTCAACTCTGGTCATATATTA